GCGTCGGCGGCGAGCGCCAGGGCCCGGCGGCCCGGGTTGGCCAGGCAGAACTCCCAGGCCGCCGCCAGCGCCTGCAGCCCGGCCTGGGGCGAGCCGCCCAGTTCGACGACCCGCAGGTCGCGCCGCGCCGTCAGGGCACTTACGACCGAGGCGGCCGCCGGCTTTTCCTCGTAGGGCAGGCTGGTCGCGCCGAGGAAGAGCGCGTCGATCCGCTCGGCCGCGTCTGCGTCGGCCCGCGCCAGGGCGGCGCGGGCGGCGGCGACCGCGAGGGTCACCGCGTCCTCGTCGTAGGCGCAGAAGGCCTTGCGCTGCAGGCCCCGCGCCTGGCAGCCGCCCCAGGCCTGCGCGTAGGCCGCCGCCGGCAGGCGCAGGCTGGGCAGCGCCGGGGCGTAGGCCAGCAGTCCGATCTCCGTCGTCGCCATGCCGCCCTCCTACTCCGCCGCCTTGAGGATGTGGACGGCGACGCTGCCGCCCGAGCCGCCGACGTTGTGGGCCAGGCCGTAGCGCGCGTCGGCGATCTGGCGCTCCGGCGTCTGCGCGGTGCCGCGCAGTTGATGCACCAGCTCGTAGATCTGTCCGGTGCCGGTGGCGCCGATGGGATGGCCCTTGCCGATCAACCCGCCCGAGCCGTTGACCGGCAGGCGCCCGCCGCGCGCCGTCACCCCCTGCTCGACCCAGCCGCCGGCCTCCGCCTCGCTGCAGAAGCCCAGGTCGGCGTAGGCCAGGATCTCGGCGATGGTGAAGCAGTCGTGCACCTCGGCCAGGTCGATCGCCTCGGGGCCGATGCCGGCCTGGCCGTAGGCCTGGCGCGCCGCCTTGCGTGCCGCCGGCAGGCGGGTGAGGCTGGGGCGGTCGTGAATCGCCACGTAGTCGGTGCCGGCGCCGCTGCCGACCACCTCGACCGGCCGGTCGGTGAAGTCGCGCGCGATCTCCCAGTCGCAGAGCACCGCCAGGGAGGCGCCGTCGGTGATGCCGCAGGCGTCGGCCAGGCAGAAGGGCGCCGCCAGGTTGGGCGCCGCCAGCGCCTGCTCCAGACCCATGGCCTTGCGCGTCTGTGCCTTGGGGTTGGCCACGGCATGGCCGCGGTTCTTCACCGCCACGCCGGTGATCTGCCCCTTGGTGGTGCCGAACTCGTGCATGTGGCGGCGCGCCATCATGGCGTAAATGCCGGGGAAGTTGGTGCCGGCCAGCCGCTCCCACTCCACGTCGCCGGACACGCCCAGCCAGGCCCGGTTCCGCTCGCGCGGCAGGTCGGACATCTTCTCGATGCCGCCCGCCACCGCGATCCGCGCCGCGCCCGAGGCGACGGCGTGGACGGCGTCGCGAAAGGCGAAGCCCGAGGAGGCGCAGGCGTTCTCCACATGCCGGCCCGAGGCCCCGATCATCCCGGCGCTCTCCAGCATCAGCGGCGCGAAGTTGCCGAGCTGGGAGCCGCCGGTCGACAGGCTGCCGATGTAGGCCTCCTCCACCTCGCGCGGGTCCAGCCCCTTGGGCACGTCGGCCAGGGCGGCGCGCGCCGCCTCGGAAAACAGCGACTTCAGGCTGCGTTCGGGCTCCAGGCCGTAGGCCGTCTGGCCGACGCCGATCACGGCGACACGTTTCATGCGAAACCTCGTTTTACCATGCAAAACAAGGCTGCCCGAAACCGCCCCGGCCTTTCAAGCCTCGCGCGGGCGGTAGCTGCCATGTCGAAAGGTCAGGCCGCGGCGGCCAGCCGCCGGGACCGGGCGTCGCCAGCGGACACGCGCCGCCGGCGCGCTCAGCGCAGGCCCTGGCGGAGGTAGTCGGCCTCGATGGCGCGGCGCATGCCGACCAGGCGCGGGCCCAGCTCCTCGCGCAGCTTCGCCTCGGTCAGCACGAAGGTCGGGCCGCCGACGTTGAAGGCGTAGACCGTCTGCCCGTCGGGGGCGAGGAAGGCGGTGCCGGCGCCGTTGATGTCGGGCAGCCAGCTTCCCAGGCCCAGGCAGAAGCCGGTGTCGGCGATTTCCTTCTCCGCCTCGGCGATCTGCTTCTTGATCCGCGGCCAGTCCTTGCCCTCGGCCGCCTTGACGGCGTCGAGCACCTGGCGGCGCGAGGCCTCCGGCGCCGCGGCCAGCCAGGCCCAGCCCATGGCGCTGCGCGCCAGCGGCAGGCGGCTGCCGATGTCCTGATGCAGGATCACCTGGCTGACCGCGCGCTGCAGCTCGATGTAGACCATGCTCAGCCGGTCTCGATCGCCCAGCGCCACCGTCCCGCGCGAGGCGGTCGCCATCTCCTGCATGTGCGGGCGGGCGACCTCGCGGATCGCCAGGCTGGCGAGATAGGCCTGGTTGATCCCCAGCACGCCGGAGCCCAGGCGGTAGCGCTCGAGCTTCGGCACGTACTTCAGGTAACCCAGCCGGGTCAGGGTGTAGGTGATGCGCGAGACGGTCGGCTTGGGCAGGCCGGTGCGCGCGGCGATCTCCTGGTTGCCCAGCAGCGGGTCGGCGGAATCGAAGGCGCGCAGCACCTCGAAGCCGCGCGCCAGGGCGGTGATGAACTGGCGGTCCTTGGCACCCGCCCCGTCCTCGCCCAGGCCGCCGTCGACCAGCACTTCGTCCTGCCAGTTGCGTCTGGTGCTCATGGCCTCTCCCTCTCCCCGAACCCGGCCCGCGCCGCCCTGCACCACCGCCTGCGGGCGCCGCCTGCGGCACGCCCCAGCGGCGAATCCCCAAGCGACAGACCCCGGCTACAGCCCCAGGCGGCGGGCCCACCGACTGCAATCCAAGTCTAGCGGTTAATTTCGCCAAGCGAAACTTCGATTGTTCTGCTGTGCAAAACTAGTTTTTGCATTTGTTGATCCCGGCGCCCGCCTTGCCTAGCATGCGCGCTCCACGCAGCCGGAGCGCAAGCGATGCCCCTGGACGAAGGCCTGATCCGCGAACTGACCGAGACCGTGCGCCGCGTCGTCGACGACCGGCTGATCCCGGCCGAGGAGGAGGTGGTCGCCAGCGACCGCATCCCCGAGGAGATCCGCGCGCTGCTGCGCGAGCTCGGCCTGTTCGGCATCTCCGTGCCCGAGGCCTACGGCGGGCTGGGCCTGCCGCTGGAGGCCGAGGTGGAGATCCTTTTCGAGCTCTGCCGCGCCTCGGTCGCCTTCCGCTCGGCGCTGGGCACCAACAACGGCATCGGCTCCCAGGGACTCGTGATCGACGGCACCGAAGCGCAGAAGCGGCACTACCTGCCGCGCATCGCCTCGGGCGAGCTGATCGCCTCCTTCTGCCTGACCGAGCCGGACGCCGGCTCCGACGCCGCGTCGCTGCGCTGCGTGGCGCGCCAGGACGGCGAGGATTTCCTGATCTCCGGCACCAAGCGCTACATCACCAACGCGCCGGAAGCCGGCCTCTTCACCGTGATGGCCCGCAGCGAGCCCGACCGGCCCGGCGCCGGCGGCATCTCCGCCTTTCTGGTCGAAGCCGACACCCCGGGGATCACCGTCGGCCCCTGGGACCGCAAGATGGGCCAGCGCGGCGCCCACACCGCCGACGTGGTCTTCGACGAGGTGCGCGTGCCGGCCACGGCGATCATCGGCGGGCCGGACAAGCGCGGCCAGGGCTTCAAGACGGCGATGAAGGTGCTCGACCGCGGCCGCATTCACCTGGCCGGGGTCTGCGTCGGCGCGGCCGAGCGGCTGCTGCAGGAAGCGCTCGGCTACGCCCTGGAGCGCCGGCAGTTCGGCCAGCCGGTCGCCCAGTTCCAGCTCGTCCAGGCACTGCTGGCCGACAGCAAGGCGGAGCTTTACGCCGCGCGCTGCATGACCCAGGACGCGGCGCGGCGGCTCGACGCCGGCGAGCGCATCCCCATGCTGGCCGCCTGCTGCAAGATGTTCGCCAGCGAGATGGTCGGCCGCGTCGCCGACCGGGCGGTGCAGGTTCACGGCGGCGCCGGCTACATGGCCGACTACCCGGTCGAGCGGCTCTACCGCGACGCCCGGCTGTTCCGGATCTACGAGGGCACCACCCAGATCCAGCAGCTCGTGATCGCCCGCCAGATGATCCGCGAGGCCGAGGCCGCGCTCGGACGCTGAGGCGCAGCGCGCCCCACCTCCTCCCGCCGGACCCGCCGCAACGAAGGACGCCGCCATGCCCGCCAGCCCCGCCTCGCCCCCCGACGGCCCGGACGCCGCCGCCGCTGCCCAGGAGACGACGCCGGAGGAGCCGCCCGTCCTGGTCGCGTGGCGCGGCGCCGTCTGCCTGCTGACCCTCAACGAGCCGGCGCGACGCAACGCCCTCTCGCTGCCCATGCGCGAGGCGCTGCACGACCGCCTGGCCGAGGCCCTGGCCGATCCCGCGGTGCGCGTGGTGGTCATCACCGGCGCCGAGGGGCGGTTCTGCGCCGGCGGCGACCTGCGCTCCATGGCGGGCGTCACCGCGCCGGCCGCGCGCGACCGCCTGCGCCGCGCCCATCGCCTCGTGCGCCTGATCCTGCGCGGCGACAAGCCGGTGATCGCCGCCGTCGAGGGCGACGCCGCCGGCGCCGGCCTGTCGCTGGCCGCCGCCTGCGACCTGGTGATCGCGGCCGAGGACGCCCGCTTCATCGCCGCCTTCGACAAGGTCGGCCTGCTGCCGGACCTGGGCGCCCTCTGGACCGTGCCGGCGCGCATCGGCAGCGGCGCGGCCCGCCGCCTGCTGCTGCTCGGCGAGACCTTCGACGGCCCGACCGCCGCCGCCTGCGGGCTGGTCGACCGCCTGGCGGCGCCCGGCGCGGTGCTGGAGGAG